CTGTGAAAACCTCATATCATATATACGGATTTAGTTTTCATTCCTTTACGTTTTAGTTCATGAGCAATTTTACAGTAAATTGGTATACATTTCATGTGTAACCTTTCACTTCTTCCCACTTAAAATTCTAACATCTCTGGCTTGTTCACACTCTCTGGTATTATAATTCAGAATAGGAGAACATGTGGTTTGGCTTTTACTAATTTTGCAGTTTGTTTTTTTATGTACCATATTGAAAATATCCTTCTATCTGCACCATTAAGATTGTCACTACTCATTTTAAATTGCACGACTTGCAGAGTACTTGCAGGATGTGAGTGAAGTGCTGCTTTTCCTATTGCTCCCTGTGGATGACTTCCATTGCAAACCACTACGCTTCCTGCTTAGGGAACTTCTAGTCAGCACTGTCGTCTTACCACTATTTGGGCTTGTCTCTGACCCTGACTACATCAATCAGATCATCGTATGGCTTGTAAGTCTCCTAAGTTTCCCGTTTCTGAACTGAGTTTTTATCTTACATTTCTTATTTTGTAATGAAAGATAAGTTTATAGTAACATCATGTGTATGAATAAAATATACAGAACAACAGATGATTACATAACAAGCTGTTCATAATTTAGGTATAACATGTTAAGAAAGTTGTAAATCATCTTATTACTATTGTTATATGTATAATATCTCTAGAGATTTATGATTGATTACACAAATTTGTCACAATATTATGAGGTATATATTCTTGTCAGTAGATATAGGATGTATCATTTATTACACTGTAGGAAGCAGTTTGGGTACTCTAACATCTGGTTATTTTGATTGACCACTATTGTATTATGTTCTCAAATTTAATTTGTGTTGTTGTCTTAATACACTGATGGTTGTTTAGTTGTGATCAAGTTGTTAAGGATTAATGGATATTATTCCACTGTGTCCCATTTCTCTTGAATTTATTGTTGTGTTGGCTTTCCATAAAATCTGGTTTTTAACATGTCCTCTGTAAAAGGCATTTATGTGTATGTGTACTATGATTTGATTGGTCTGAATAGTATATTAGTGCTGTCTTTTGTATTTATGGTGGCACCACTGATATTTTCTCTGGTAAAAAGTAATGCTGTCTTGCTACATGCCTTGGAGGTGCTTGAGGGGGGAGAAGGTATAGTTCCTGCTCGTTCTTTACCTTGGCGCTAGATGTGGGTGAGTGATCAGCGTCACACTCTGGCCCTGATTATCCATGGAGAAAAGGCTTTTGGTATCCCTAGAGCCAGTATGGATACAGGGACAGAAAAAACCTTTGTCCCTGCAAGGAATGAATCTCTGGTCATCAAGTACACAGCATTTTGAATTTAAATATTTATTTAAATATATCTGAAAATGTATTAACATATTTTAGTCTTAATATAAAATGGTTATGTTGTCCATTCAACCATTGTGATTGATAGGTAAACTTGAACTTGGCTATTACATGATATCTACGATTTTTAGTGGACCTTTCTCATGCATATGGACAGAGATGCCATAGATAAGGGAGATATTTGAAGACACACAAGCATATATTATTTAGTCTACCAACAAATTTTAATGTCTTATTTCCCCATAGCTCTTCAAAATGTCTGATGTGAATATTGCAGTGCAAGGAGATTCCTATGACAAGTGATGTGTTCCTCACTGCACTGCGAGTCACAGACAACCAAGAGGAGCTCATTGCAACTCGGGACATGATCAGCAGAGAAATAGCTCAGTTGGTAAGACCTGTAGCCTACAAATCAGAAATTTAAAATACTTGGGTTATCAGAGCACCACCATTTAATTAGGATTTGAGGTTCTCAAGTGAGTACGAAGATGGCTGTGCTCTGGGTTGTCACCCTGATGGTGGAGGCAGCAAGGATCTCTGAAATGTTGTTAAACTTCTACCAGACTAAACAGTGCTACAACCTAGAAGACAGCCATCTTTATTGCCATTTAATGTTTTTAACCAGTTCAGATTAATTATAATTGCACCCTCTAATGCTGAACAAGCTTTCTTGTCAAACAGCACAGTAATGTCATTACCAAGTTTCTTGACCAGCAAAGGAATCAGTTCTTAGGTGAGAGAACCTATGAGGCACATTCTCTTGACCACACTACCAGTATTCTAGGACTTTCTAGAGGCTCTCTGATATTGATATTGATATTGAGTTGAGTTATGAATGTTACGCTTCAGACACCTCTGTGCCATTGAGACACAAAGTGAATTTATCCATTTTAGAGGGTCATCTAGAGGCATGAAGTGAATTCCCTATGGAGATGTTATGTGTAAAATACATACACAAAATCAGATATGTTATTGTATTGGGGTATCGTGTTGTGTTGCTGTTTAAAATATATTGATATTTTACAGTATTCAACAAACAGTTTCATGTGCAAAGATACTTATTGCTTTTGTGCGATGTTACAATCTGACAGTGACATATTTTGGACCAAAACTGCCCATCCTCAGGCTTCACTTATCTTTGAAAACTATAATTATGTGTAATGTGTTAGTGTTAAAATTGGTGATATATATCATAACATAAGTTAGTATGTGTAATAAGATCTGAATTTTAAATTTCTTATTTGTTGAATTGTGATACGTGTTAAATTGTAATGTAAACCTACATATGCTTTTTCTTCTTCCCTGGCTCTACAACCCAGTGTAGGTCTTTGCTGCCTCCTTTTGGAGGTTTTCGTGTCTTTGAAGCATGCATTTGTCAGTATTGAGTGACCAGCTCACTGCCTCTGCACAATTTCTACTCACTCCTGTTTTTTTTTATTATTATTATTATTATTATTCTGCTAGACGCATCCAGGAGAGACATGGGTGATAAATAGCCACTGAATTTTGCTCACAAAATTTCTTGTTCATGCTCGTAAGGTTCTTTTACATATCATAAATCTGCTGTAGGAACTTACCTACATATGCACCGAATTATTATCCTGCTGTTACTGATTAAGATAAGTTACGAATTATAAGTCAGATATTACTATTGCTGTTTTGGTATGTACAGTTTAGCTCTGTTTCTTGATTATATTAATCTGTTATGGTCAGGTGCACTGTTATACTCTCATTTCACTGTCACTCTAAGCGTGGAATATGACATGAAATTGATAAGTGCATTATCTTTGTGTGTACGAGTTTCGTCATTGTACAGTTTA